GGTGTCTAATTTCCGCCCTGACACAGGCGGGCGGAGGTGATCTCTTATTTAGGTTCTCTAGTTCAGTTCAGTCCTGCTACGGGGAGGGCGGGGCGCTGCAGACAGATACCGCTCTGTGTGGATAGCACTCACCGTGTTCCGGCCACACTGGGTTTGCCCCGCTCATGGGTGTCAGTGCTTTCCCCGTCTACACTGCTCAGGCTCCCAGCTGCTCTATATGGAGCGGATCCTGTGTTGAGTGCGGTTCCAGTTTTCGGGTACTCCACAAAAGCGCGGATTCGGTTGTGCCTGCGTTTTGTGCCTTCCCCGGCCTGAGCGATTCAGGCAGCCAGGGGCATGGGCGTACTCTCCCCAGGTGCAGCGCACCTTTTCCCTCCGCGGCGAGCGGCTCAGGCAGCCAGAGGCTTGGGCGTACTCTCCCCAGATGCGGCGCGCCTTTTCCTTCCACGGCGAGCGGCTCAGGCAGCCAGAGGCTGGGCGCAATCTCCCCGGGTACGCTGCGCTTTTTCCCTCCGCAGCCCCAGCGCGAGCCACCAGTCGGGTCTCAGGAAGTCTTTAGATAGGAACCGGGGGCCTGGTTGCAGTGTGGGAGGGGGTGGCTTCTCAGGGGCTGAGTTTGCCCTTTTCCCCTCCCCCCTGCCTCCTACCTCCAGCGGGGATGGGCCAGCTCTTCTCTGGAGTTTCTCAGTCCCTTTGTTTTGTGAACCGCTGGCAGTGTGTTCGGGCTGGTTAATTTTGTCCCTTGATATCCCACAGTTTAAAAAAGCTCCCTCCGATTGCTCTCAGAGTCTTCAGGCCGGTCCTTACCCTAAGCAATGCCGCCCGCTCCTCTCCGTTCCGCCCCCGCTTGTTGCTGGCGGGTACGGGCGTCTGGGGTACTTTTCTGCTGGGAGTTGCTTTTAGGCACGTAATCTGTGGGGCTTGTTTAATTTTTCCTCCCAGTTAGATTGCCAAAAACTTCCCCCAGCCCCGCCAGTGTGAGGGTTTCCTGGTGATTGGAAACTTCCTCTATTAAGACTCCCTTCCCGGGACGGGTCTCCGTCCGTAGCTCTTTTGACTCCCTTTTTATCTTTTATATTTTGTCCTACCTCCCTTCAAAGACAATGGGCTGCTTTTCTGGGTGCCTGATGTCCTCTGCTAGCGATCAGAAGTTGTTTTGTGAAATTTGCTCAGCGTTCAAATGTTCTTTCGATGAATTTGTAGGGGAGAAAGTGGTCTCCCCGTCCTATTCCTCCGCCATCTTCTACTTCTTTTTTTTTTTTGAATATTTATTTATTTTTGGCCATGCTAGGTCTTCATTGCTCTGTGGACTTTTCTCTAGTTATGGCAAGCAGGGGCTACTCTCTAGTTGTAGTGTGTGGGTTTCTCGTTGTGGTGGCTTCTCTTGTGGAGCACAGGCTCTAGAGCACATACAGGTTCAATAGTTGTGGTGCATAGGCTTAGTTGCACCACAGTATGAGGGATCCTCCTGGATCAGGGATTAAACTCATGTCTTCTGGATTGGCAGATGGATTCATTACCACTGGGCCATCAAGGAAGCCTCCTTTTTACTTCTTCAAACAATGACACTTACTTCCTCCAATGCTCTGCCAAAAATGAAACATCTTATTTTCTCCTTGGAGGAAACTGGAATCTGATTTCTTATAAACTTAACTCTGATGAGTTCAGTTATTTTGTAGATTGTTTTTCTCCTTGTTTGGGTGGGAGTAGTTTTGTCTTTCTATATCCTTAGCAAAAGTGGAGCTGCAGTTCTTTAGTCAAGTTTGTCAGCATTTTCTTTCATGGTTAGTGCTTGCTCTGTATTAAGATGTCTTCTTTAAAAAATCCCTTTTCTACCCTGAGAGCATGAAGATATGGCCCTGTATTATATTACAAATATTTTATGGTTAGTTTTCCACATTTAGTTCATTAATATAACAGGAATTTATTTTTATGTGTGATGTCAGATGAATTTCCTTAATTTTTATCATATGTACACTATCATTTATTGATGATAGTTGTACAGTATCTTAAAATTGTCAGATTGCTCTTTAGTGGTGCTTGAGAATACAAAATATCTGAGCTCTAACATTGTGATAGTATCAAAATATAACTGGTAAAAATATGCACAGTATATTGCATTGGTTCTTTAATGAAGGAGAAAAGATGTATTTATTTACTTATTTTTACATATTAAAATGGATAGTCATTTCCATTAGTTATCTTTTATTCTTTTCCAGAAGTACACATCTCTATTATATTTTTTGATATGCCTCAACTTTACCATGTTTAATCCTTGATTGTTGTTGCCCCCAAGCCAGTACACTTTCTTATTTATTTCGTTCCATCGTTCTTCCAGTTGTTTAGGCTTAAAGCTTTGAAAATTTCCTTATTGTAAAATGATAGCTTCTTAGTTTAAAGAAAACTTAAAAAGCATCTTGAGTGGCCTTCTTGCTTATATCTCCTTTCTAGTCTATCTTCTAGACTGCCATCAGCATCATTTTACTTGTTACAAGTTGGATTATTTATCTTCCTATATAAAAACCCTTGAAAGAGTCACTGATTAAGCCTCCTTAAAATAGCATAGAGAATTATTCATACTCTTGACTTCAAATCCGGGTTACAAATGTTGGGCCATGCAGCCCAATTCCAGAAGGCTTTCTTCACATAGGTTATGATTTGAATGGAGCTTTCAGGATTTGTTTAATGTGGTAGTTAGTTCAATAATTTTCACCTGGTATTAGTAATAGTACTATTATTATTGCCTGGAAAATTCCTTGGACAGAGGAGCCTGGCAGGCTAATATAGTCCATGGGGTGGCAAAGAGTTGAATACAACTAAGCAACTGAGTACACACACACACACACACACACACACACACACTATTATTATTATAGTTTGGTGATAGGAAAGGGAGGAAAAAGTACCATATAGTACAATTGGAGGTAGGTAGGGATTTAGCTACAAGTTTACAAAGCTAAAATGTTTTGCAGGAATGGGAAGCCATTTGAAGTTTTTAACAGGAATTGTGTAATTGGATTTCAGTTCCAGAAAAACAATGTGGGAGACAATATGGAGACTAGACTGAGGTGATAAAGACCTGAACTAGGAAATGCTATGGAATGGAGATCAGAACTTGAAGACTTCTAACGATTGCATACTGTACAGAAAGTGTTTTATATGCACTATTGCCATTTTAGAGCTAAGGAAACTGAAGTGAGAAATAACTTACCTAAGGTCACACATGCTGTGATAATGCCCAGACGGGAACACTTACATGTTTGCATATGTAAAATAACAAATGACATATGATCTGTATTTATACCCAGTGCTTTCCAGAGTAGGATCCTCAGGATGCTATTTTAAAAGGTACTTTTGGCAAAGGCTTTTTAGAGAAATTAGATTTTAATAAAACCCAACTTACCTCACCTTGTACATATTGTACATAAAAACAGAGAAATCCTACAATAGGTGTGTGTCTTAATGGGGTTTGTGTTCCTGTTAGGATTGCTTTAATCCAATTTTCCCCAAACTGAATTTACCAAAGAATTCGCCTTTTGCATAAACTAAAGGTTTCATGGAATTCAGTTTGGAAATAGTAAAGTTCATGGAGATATTGAAACATGGAAGAATATATAGTATGTACATATAAAAATTTATTATTTTAGTATTTTCTTAATATTGTAAACTTTCTTTGCTATGGATGGATATCAGCATCAGCTGGGGGAAAAGCTACTCCAAATGAGAATCAGATCGGAAATAATCAAACTGGAAATCCTGAATTGCCACGATCACAGGAAGATTCAGATAATGATTATTTTAGCGACAGTAAAAGGTAATTAGCATGAATGTTGATTCTACATATCAATCTATAAGAGTGAGATACCCAGGGTACTGTCTTAGAATCTTGTAATTAAAACAAGGACCAAGTGAAGTTAATGACATTTTTAACTAAAACCACCTTGATTCTGATGTTTACTGTTGTATACTAGTATTTCCCTCCAATATAATGGGGGATAATGTATTGCTTAAATTTATTCTATTGTAATTCTTCTGTCATCAGGGACAACCTAAATGGCAGAAAAGTTTCTGTCCTCATTTTTGTTTCCTAGAATTAATCTTTCTGGCTCTTTTACATTCCTGGTATGGTAAACTAATCATTATGCTTGAGTTTCACATTGGTATAATTTCAGTCAAAATTATAGTACTTAAACCACAGCTTTGCATATTAAAAGCTTCTTTTTGAAATTAAGGAATTTTATGAATAATTATTCTCAAAATAACTATAAACAAAGTATGTTTATTAAATTTCCAGTTAGTTTACCCTGCTATCAACATTGGACTGTGATTTAAATTTAGCTATAATTGATGAGTTTGAGCAAACTCCGGAAGATAGAGGACAGGGAAACCTGGTGCACTGCAGTCCATGGGGTCACAAGGAACCAGACATGACTTAGCAATTGAACAGCATAATGAAATATTATCTTATAACTCATGCTAAATGTAGTTTATGTTAATCATTAATGAGTTTGAAAGATAACATAATAGTTTTGAGATGACTGTAAACATTTTTAATGTTATATTTGTGTTTATAGAATGTTAAACAATTAAAAATATGAAAAGCTAATATTCATGGAATCATTTTTAATATGACTGTCAACTTTATCATTCCCTTTTAAGTCAGTTTCTTTGGAAAAATGAAGATGATAGAGCTAATATCACTAGAAGAGAGGATAATCAGGTATGATTTCTAAATTTTTCTTAAATGTGATATTGTACCATATTTATATTGAAATTGAAATGCAGATTGCAGATTGAAAATGAAACTGCAGATTAAAATGTCCAAGGTTTCTACCTTATACATTAGAGACGGGGGAGATAAACTTCAAGAAAATTCAGGAGCCTGCCAATTCAGTGAAATTTCAGGGAGTTTTATGATCTGGGAGATATGTTGAGATATGCCCTTTAAAGTAAAAAACCAGGTATTTGAACCTTGCCCCAGCTACCATTGAAAATTAGTCACCCGATGCACCTCTTTTGAATTTGGAGATTTATATATAGCATTCAAATGTGTGGCTCCAATCTTTCCTTTTTTTTTTCTCAAACAAGTAATCTAAAAGACTATCAACTTTGGGCAGAAATGGCTCACAAAGTGGTCCAAGAGACACAGCAAGCAGTGCTGCTAGTTGTGTGCTAACATTCATCTAGTCCAATCATACTTGATATGTAATAAGTTGGAACGCTGAATGGAGTCTGAGACAAGTCCTGGTAGAAGAATCACAGCTCAGAGCCTTTGAGTTTTGGAGTAAAGGCATGCCATCTGCAGCAAATAATTATATTGTTGTTGCTAGATATTACTAAAACTTAATATCTTCACACTTAAAAATAAAATTTTTCCACCTGGTGGGTACTAAATGCTTTTTAACTATGGCCTGAATTTTAATTTCCCAGGTTACCCATACAATTGGTTTGATCCTGTTTATATATTTTATGGGCTCCATTTTGATAACTTTTTTGAAGAACTACCTTTTCAAGTAGTTGAAGTATTTTTCTCTTATTGCAAATCAAGACATTAACTTCTCATTTCTTCTTGTTTACATTTATTTGGTATACCCCATCTTCCTCCTCTACTTTTCCCCCCAACTTTTCTGGATTGCATTGTTTTAGGTACGTCTTTATAGACATCATAAAGTTGGGTTTCATTTTGTAAACAGTCTGAAAGTCATTTTCATTTAGTAGATGAGTTATGCCCTTTTATGTTATGATGGGATTGATATATTTGACCTCAAATTTGTCATTTTACTTTGCTATAGTTACTATGTGGCTTATTTGCACTTTCCCCCTTCCTTGTATGTAGGAAGGTTGAATCTTATTCTAGTGTTTACCTTTTTACTAATACAAATTTTTGTTAGTATTCCTCACCCTCCTTTTTCCTTTTTTAAAATTTATGCTTCTTCAAAAATTTGAAGTTTTTGTTTCATTACCTCTAAAATTATCCTCTGACTCCTACCTTTACATTCAAGGTGATTAAAAAGTCATCCCTCTCTCTTTTCTTCCCTCATATACTTTGAGTTGTATCATTTCTACTTTGTCAAAGAACAGAACATTTATGGGCTGTGCTTCTTGTCTTCTCCTCACCCTTGTTTTAGTCTTAGATCTATAATTAAATATGATCAACACTTACTGCCAGTTCTTTTGCACAAGATTTTTCAATCATTTCCTGGCTGGGTTAAGCTCCACTTATTTTTTTAAAAAGCTCCTACATACAATATTCCCTTACTTCTTCCATATTTAAATCTGTCTAGAGCAGGAATAGACAAATAAGGCTCAAGCCAGTTTAGTGTAGCATGGGACATAAAAATATTTTTTTTTAAGTTGGAAAAGGAAGAATTATGACAGATACCATTTGTGGCCTGCAAAACCTAAATTATTTATTCTGAGGCCTTTTACAGAAGAAGTTTGCTCATCCCTGTTTTGAGCCTTGATACTTGAGGGATAGCTTGATTGTCTGTAACATCCTCGGCTTATGAAATTTTTCCTTGAGTTTATTTAAATGTTCCCCTATTGATGTCTTATTTTATTTGTTACTATTAAGAAGTGTGATGCAAAATTGATTTTATTTTCCTTGTAAATCGGTTTGGGTATTCTGGAAGGCCAGAGTATTCCTTTAATGTGTAGTAGTTTTATCAGGCTATACTTCAGTTGAGCGTTCTAGGTCTGGTTTTTATGAGTACCCAGTGGGTCCTTTTAGGGCTTCCCTGGTGGCTCAGCTGGTAAAGAGTTAGCCTGCAATGCGGGAGACCTGGGTTAGATGCGTGGGTTGGGAAGATCCTCTGAAGAAAGGACCAGCTACCCACTCCAGTATTCTGGTCTGGAGAATTCCATAGACTGGGGAATCCAGTCTGTGGGGTCACAAAGAGTTGGACCTGACTGAGCAACTTTCATTAGTGGGCCCTCTCAGTATGAAAATCAAGACTTCTTTTATTTCAACAAATTATAGTTCTAAAAAACAGTATAAATAGCAGATCCATTCCATGTTTTTTCTTTCAGGGACCCCAATTTGTCTTTATTAGTTCTTCTTTACCTTTTATTTCTGTTACTTTCTTTCTGATCAAGTTTACCATTTCTTTTTTTAAAAATTTATTTATTTATTTTAATTGGAGGCTAATTACTTTACAATATCGTAGTGGTTTTTGCTAAACATTGACATTAATCAGCCATGGGTGCACATGTGTTCCCCATCCAGAACCGCCCTCCCACCTCCCTCCCCATCCCATCCCTCAGGGTCATCCCAGTGCACCAACCCTGAGCACCCTGTCTCATGCACTGAACCTGGACTGGTGATCCGCTTCATATATGATAATACACACGTTTCATTGCTACCCTCTCAAATCATCCCACCTTAGCCTTCTCCCACAAAGTCCAAAAGACTGTTCTTTACATCTGTGTCTCTTTTGCTATCTTGCATGTTGGGTCATCATTACCAATTTTCTAAATTCCATATATATACATTAGTGTACTGCATTGGTGTTTTTCTTTCTGACTTACTTCACTCTGTATAATAGGCTCCAGTTTCATCCACTTCATTAGAACTTATTCAAATGCATTCTTTATAATGGCTGAGTAATATTCCATTGTGTATTTGTACCACAGCTTTCTTATCCACTTGCCTGCCATTGGACATCTAAGTTGCTTCCATGTCCTGGCTATTATAAACAGTGTTGTGATGAACATTGGGGTACACGTGTCTCTTTCAATTCTGGTTTCCTTGGTGTGTATACCCAGCAGTGGGATTGCTGAGTCATATGGCAGTTCTATTTCCAGTTTTTTAAGAAATCTCCACACTGTTCTCCATAGCGGCTGTACTAGTTTGCATTCCCACCAACAGTATAAGAGAGTTTCTTTTTCTCTGCACCCTCTCCAGTATTTATTGTTTGTAGACTTTTGGATAGCAGCCATTCTGATGGTGTTAGATGGTACCTCATTGTGGTTTTGATTTGCATTTCTCTGATAATAAGTGATGTTGAGCATCTTTTCATGTGTTTGTTAGCCATCTGTATGTCTTCTTTGGAGAAATGTCTGTTTAGTTCTTTAGCCCATTTTTTGATTGGGTCATTAATTTTTCTGGAATTGAGTTATAGGAGCTGCTTGTATATTTTTGAGATTAATTCTTTGTCAGTTGTTTTGTTTGCTATTATTTTCTCCCATTCTGAAGCTTGCCTTTTCACCTTGCTTATAGTTTCCTTCATTGTGCAAAAGCTTTAAAGTTAAATTAGGTCCAATTGTTTATTTTTGCTTTTATTTCCATTACTCTGTGAGCTAGGTCATAGAGGATCCTGCTGTGATTCATGTCAGAGAGTGTTTTGCCTATGTTTTCCTCTAGGAGTTTTACAGTTTCTGGTCTTACATTTAGATCTTTAATTCACCTTGAGTTTATTTTTGTGTATGGCATTAGAAAGTATTCTAGTTTCATTCTTTTACAAGCAGTTGACCAGTTTTCCCAGCACCTCTTGTTAAAGAGATTGTCTTTTCTCCATTGTATATTCTTGCCTCCTTTGTCAAAGATAAGATGTCCAGAGGTGCATGGATTTATCTCTGGGCCTTTTATTTTGTTGCATTGATCTACATTTCTGTCTTTGTGACAGTACCATACTGTCGTGATGACTGTAGCTTTATAGTATCATCTGAAGCCAAGCAAATTGATTCCTCCAGTTCCATTCTTCTTTCTCAAGATTGCTTTGACTCTTTGAGGTTTTTTTTGTATTTTCATACAAATTGTGAAATTATTTGTTCTAGTTCTCTGAAAAATACCATTGGTAGCTTGATAGGGATTGCATTAAATCTATAGATTGCTTTGAGTAGTAGACTCATTTTCACTATACTGATTCTTCTGATCCATGAACATGATGTATTTCTCCATCTATTTGTGTCATCTTTGATTTCTTTCATCAGTGTTTTATAGTTTTCTATATATAGGTATTTTGTTTCTTTAGGTAGATTTATTAAGTATTTTATTCTTTTTGCTGCAGTGGTTAATGGAATTGTTTCCTTAATTTCTCTCTTTTCTCATTGTTAGTGTATAGGAATGCAAGGAATTTCTGTGTGTTAATTTTATACCCTGAAACTTTGCTATATTCATTGATTACCTCTAGTAATGTTCTGGTGAAGTCTTTGGGGTTTTCTATGTAGAGGATCATGTCCTCTGCAAACAGTGAAAGTTTTATTTCTTTTCCAATCTGGAATTTCTTTTATTCTTTTTCTTCTCTGATATCTGTGACTAAAACTTCCAAAACTATGTTGAATAGCAGTGGTGAGAATGGGTACCCTTGTCTTGTTCCTGACTTTAGGGAAAATGTTTTCAATTTTTTACCATCGAGGATAATGTTTGCTATGGATTTATCATATATGGCTTTTATTATGTTGAGGTATGTCCCTTCTATTCCTGCTTTCTGGAGGATTTTTATCATAAATGGATGTTGAATTGTGTCAAAGGCTTTCTCTGCATCTATTGAGGTAGTCATATGGTTTTTATATTTCAATTTGTTAATGTGGTGTATCACTTTGATTGATTTGTGGATATTAAAGAATCCTTGTATCCCTGGGATAAAGCCCACTTGGTCATACTGTATGATCTTTTCAATATGTTGTTGGATTCTGTTTGCTAGAGTTTTGTTAAGGATTTTTGCATCTATGTTCATCAGTGATCAGTGATATTGGCCTGTAGTTTTCTTTTGGGGGGGGCATCTTTGTCTGGTTTTGGTATTAGGGTGATGGTGGCCTCATAGAATGAGTTTGGAAGTTTGCCTTCCTCTACAGTTTTCTGGAAGAGTTTGAGTAGGATAGGTGTTAGCTCTTCTCTAAATTTTTGGTAGAATTCAGCTGTGAAGCCATCTGGTCCTGGGCTTTTGTTTGCTGGAAGATTTCTGATTACAGTTTCAATTTCCGTGCTTGTAATGGATCTGTTAAGATTTTCTATTTCTTCCTGGTTCAGTTTTGGAGTGTTATACTTTTCTAAAAATTTGTCCATTTCTTCCAAGTTGTCCATTTTATTGTCATATATTTGCTGGTAGTAGTCTCTTATGATCCTTTGTATTTCAGTGTTGTCTGTTGTGATTTCTCCATTTTCATTTCTAATTTTGCTGATTTGATTCTTCTCCCTTTTTTTCTTGGTGAGTCTGGCTAATGGTTTGTCTATATTTATCTTCTCAAAGAACAAACTTTTAGCTTTGTTGATTTTTTTGCTATGGTCTCCTTTGTTTCTTTTGCATTTATTTCTGCCCTAATTTTTATGATTTCTTTCCTACTAACCCTGCAGTTCTTCATTTCTTCCTTTTCTAGTTGCTTTAGGTGTAGAGTTAGGTTATTTATTTGACTTTTTCTTGTTTCTTGAGGTAAGCTTTTATTACTATCAACCTTTCCCTCAGCACTGCTTTTACCGAGTCTCATAGGTTTTGGGTTGTTGTGTTTTCATTTTCATTCGTTTCTATGCATATTTTTATTTCTTCTGTGATTTGCTGGTTATTCAGAAGCGTGTTGTTTAGCCTCCATATATTTGTACTTTTAATAGTTTTTTTCCTGTAGTTGACATATAATCTTACTGGATTGTGATGAGAAAATATGCTTGGAATGATTTCAACTGTTTTGAATTTCCCAAGGCTAGATTTATGGCCCAGGATGTGATCTATCCTGGAGAAGTTTCCATGTGCACTTGAGAAAATGGTGCAATTCATTGTTTAGGGGTGAAATGTCCTATAGATATCAATTAGGTCTAAATGGTCCATTGTATTATTTAAAGTTTGTGTTTCCTTGTTAATTTTCTGTTTAGTTTATCTATCCATAGGTGTGAGTGGAGTATTAAAGTCTCCCTCTATTATTGTGTTACTGTTAATTTCCCCTTTCATACTTGTTAGCATTTGCCTTATATATTGCAGTGCTCCTATGTTGGGTGCATATATATTTATAATTGTTATATCTTCTTCTAGATCAAAGGCTTGACCCTTTGATCATTATGTAGTGTCCTTCTTTGTCTCTTTTCATGGCCTTTATGTCAAAGTCTATTTTATCTGATATGAGTATTGCTACTCTTGCTTTCTTTTGGTCTCTATCTGTGTGAAATACTTTTTTCCAGCCCTTCACTTTCAGTCTGTATGTGTCCCTTGTTTTGAGGTGGGTCTCTTGTAGACAGCATATATAGGGGTCTTTGTTTTTGTATCCATTCAGCCAGTCTTTGTCTTTTGGTTGGGGCATTCAACCCTTTTACATTTAAGGTAATTATTGATAAGTATGATCCCGTGCCATTTACTTTGTTGTTTTAGGTTCGATTTTATACACCTTTTCTCTGTTTCCTGTCTTGAGAAGATCCTTTAGCATTTGTTGAAGAGGTGGTTTGGTGGTGCTGAATTCTCTCAGCTTTAGCTTGTCTGTAAAGCTTTTGATTTCTCCTTCATATCTGAATGAGATCCTTGCTGGGTACAGTAATCTGGGTTGTAGGTTTTTCTCTTTCATCACTTTAAGTATGTCCTGCCAGTCCCTTCTGGCCTGAAGAGTTTCTATTAAAAGATCAGCTGTTATCCTTATGTGTATCCCCTTGTGTGTTATTTGTTGTTTTACCCTTGCTGCTTTTAATATTTGTTCTTTGTGTTTGATCTTTATTAATTTGATTAATATGTGTCTTGGGGTGTTTTGTCTAGGGTTTATCCTGTTTGGGACTCTCTGGGTTTCTTGGACTTGGGTGGCTATTTCCTTCCCTATTTTAGGGAATTTTTCAACTATTATCTCCTCAAGTATTTTCTCATGGCCTTTCTTTTTGTCTTCTTCTTCTGGGACTCCTATGATTCGAATGTTGGGGCATTTGACGTTGTCCCAGAGGTCTGAGGTTGTCCCCATTTCCTTTCATTCTTTTTTTCTTTTTTTCTCTTTGCTTCATTTATTTCCACCATTCTATCTTCCACCTCACTTATCCTATCTTCTGCCTCAGTTATTCTACTGTTGGTTCCCTCCAGATTGTTTTTGATCTCAGTTATTGCATTATTCATTATTGATTAACTCCTTTTTATTTCTTCTAGGTCAAGTTTACCATTTCTTTATGTTTAATTTTCTTTGCTCCCTTTATTTCTCTTCTATATTATGCTTACTGTATTTTTTTGGTCATATCTGTTCCTGTTTGGATACCTGTTACTCATTTCTGAGACAGTTTGTTTTTTCTTTAATTTCTTTCTTCAATTTGGTCAATTTCCATTTTACATCTTCCTGGGTTTTTGTTTTTCCATTTTTATTCTGAATGTCTAAATTTGTGATTTATGGTGTTCATTAATACCTAAAATGCTTTGAATTCATTTAATACAGTATGTTGGGATATTGTTAATTTTTTCTGCCTCTTGGATGCTGGTTTTGTTTTGTTTTAGTTCTTAATTTTGAGGGTTTTCAAAGTAACTTAGCATGAATGTTAGATTATTTTGTAGATGTTGTCTTTGCTTATTTGTGTTGGATTTTTCTCAGTCAGTAGCAGGTGTTCTTACAGAGGAACAGGGAGTAGTGTTCTGGTGGTTTAATTTAGTTTGTAGATTAGGAGTGCCCTCTTCTGTTGTTATAATAAAATGTGGTTGTTTATTTTTAAATAAATGGGGCATTTGGAGGAAATGGTCTTTTTTCTTTGTATACTTTCTTACTGATTTAATTCAGCAGAGCTCTTAACTAACTTGACCACCTTTCTTTCTCTTACAACCTTGCTTAACAGAACATCTCTTGCTTCTGAAGCATCTTCGTTTCACCTAGTAACTATGTTTCCTCATAATTACCACCTCTGGTCCTCTACATTTTAAAAGTCCCTTTCTTTTAGATTCCTCATAGAAAGAGCTCTGATTTACCAGTCCATAGCCTAGCTCTCAATATTTCTCCACCACATGTAGGACTCTCTCCTTTAAGACTGAACTGTGGTTAATGTTCACTGTGTTATCTGTGTATTGTCTCTATTGTTTCTCTAATGCACAGTCCCCATCTGACTCTGCTTAGATGTGAGCTCCTAAGCACACACTGCTGGCCTAGGGTGTTTGTTTCTCCACTTACTAAATTAAAGTATATGTAAATTAAAGGATTCTGTGTCCTAGTTACACCACAGACATAAGTTGTGGGTGATTATATTTGCTTTCTTTTTATAGTAGTTGAGAGCATGTGTGGAGAGATTCTAATTTAGGTGGTTTCCATTATCCTGTGGGAATCTGACCTTATAAGTTAACAAAATAAAATAAAATGCAATAAACTAGAAAAAATAATGAAACAAAGTATGGATAAGGGTTTCTTAATGAAGATAAAAGTAGAAACTAATAAGTTACAGAAGTAAACAGCCTAGGAGAATTGAAAAGAGTTCAAGATCTATAAAGTGGTAGTGGCAGAAACATCAACATCGGTAAGGCTTGAGGTAGTTTATCAAAAAAGGGTAGAAACAAAAAAATTAGGTGAGATGAAGGCAATGTAACACAAATACAGAGGTGATAAAATTTATGAGAATATAATGTATGCTAAAATTTGAAAATGTGCTAGGATGTCCAATTTTCTAAGCAAATATAAATGGTTAAAATTGGCTCAAGAAGAAAAAATTCAATAGCCATCTGAGAAACATTTAAAAGTTGTCATAACAAACAATTGAAATCAGAAATCTTGGAATGAAATCATGCTTAGAAAGGAATTTGGATTCTTTTTTATTTTTTCTTTGTAATGTTTAGTTTGAAGCTCCCGTGGTATAACGTCCAACTAATAGTGGAATGGACAAAATAGAGCACTAGAGAGGGTCTATAGTTACAAAGACAGATTTTGGACTTCATCACCTTATAAGTTAAAAGATGCATTACTGTTGGCATTATCAGATGTTTACAAATAGGTGAAAAATAATGTGTCACCCTACCAGATCTTACTGATTTTCATGTTTGCTTACAGCTAGGTAAAACAGAGTACATCCCCCTACCAGATCTTATTGATTTTCCTTCACTTCCTTGTCAACCTGCTCTTTCTCCAGGAATAACTGATAAATCTTTATCACAGATTGAGAGTAAGTATGATGATACTGTAAGTACAGATGATTCTAGGAGGTAACATTAAATGATGTTAATGAGTTAACTGTTTAATGTGTACAGAGTTTTAGTTTGGAAAGATAAAGTTTTGGAGATGAAGGGGTGGTGATGCTTGCAACATATTATGAATGCACACAGTGCCATTAAACTGTACATTTAAATATGATTAAAATGGTAAATTATGTATATTTTACCACAAAAAGTTAAATTATTTTAAAGTGTATGATTCTTATGTTGATTACTGCATATATGTGTCACTAGTATTATTTCTACTTTTAAAAAAATATATTCTAAAATATACATTTTTCTATGTAAGATTTAAGTACAATAACTTAGGACCCAAGATAAATTTACTTAAAGAATTAAATCAAGAGATATAACTACACAAGCTTTACCTAGTTTCTATACATATATATAAATGCAAAAGAAACATACTGTATTGTTTACATATATATAAGTCTCCTATAGACACTGAAATGACTCCTCAGTGTTTTCCACAGTGGCAATCACTATACTACAGGTAGAAAAACAGAGTTTGGGGTAAAATTTATACTTGCTGTTTTAAGCATTTTTTAGTTTTATATTCTATATTTTAGAACTTGACCCATCTTTTAGCTTTTAGGTATTTATGAGTATGGCTTATAATCTATTAGGGGAGAAGATTATTGAACAAATGAAACAAGTAAAGGAAGAAAGAAGATATCTGGAAAGAATTAGAGAAGAACTAATGAAAAAAGCTGAAAGGCTATTGGAACAAAGCAAATTAAAGCACTATCATGGTAAAATTTATTACACATCTTTTATCACTATAAAGGAAACTCAAGGTTTACAGAATTCATGCCTGTAAATTCTGTGCCTGTGATTTATTTTACAGAATAAACCACAAAATGATGATATTTATTGTTTTACTGTTATAGTTTAAATGATACACTATTGATATAGATTCACTGTAGGAACAGTGAAATCATTGTTTGACTATTTTATACACTAAATGCAACATGCTTTTTACTAAAATTCAATTATTTTTTATTGCAACTTAATTTTTATTGAAGGATAATTGCTTTACCAAACTTCATTGTTTTCTGTCAGATCTCAACATGAATCAGCCATAGGTATACATATATCACCTCCCTTTTGAACCTCCCTCCCATATCCCTCCCCATCCCACCCTGTAGGTTGAGAGCCCCTACTTGAGTTTCCTGAGCCCATCCTGGAGTCCAAAGTCAAGTGGACCTTAAAAAGTATCACTCCAAACAAAGCTAGTGGAGGAAGTGATGGAATTCCAGCTGAGCTATTTTAAATCCTAAAAGATAAGGCTGTGAAAGTGCTGCATGTAATATGCCAGCAAATTTGGAAAGCTCAGCAGTGGCCACAGGACTGGAAAAGGTCAGTTTTCATTCCAATCCCAAGAAAGGCAATGCCAAAGAATGTTCAAACTACCACACAATTGCACTCATCTCACACACTAGCAAAGTAATGATGAAAGTTCTCCAAGCTAAGCTTCAACAGTATGTGAACCGTGAACTTCCAGATGTTCAAGCTGGATTTAGAAAAGGCAGAGAAACCAGAGATCAAATTGCCAACATCCATTGGATCATAGAAAAGGTGAGAGAGTTCCAGAAAAACATCTACTTCTGCTTCATTGTCTGTGGCAAAGCCTTTGACTATGGGGATCACAATAAACTGTGGACAATTCTTAAAGAGATAGGAATACCAGACCATCTTACCTGCCTCCTGAGAAATCCCTGTGCAGGTCAAGAAGCAACAATTAGAACCGTACATGGAACAATGGACTGGTTCCAAACTGGAAAAGTACATCAAGGCTGTATATTGACACCCTGATTATTTAACTGACATGCAGAGTATATCATGCAAAATGCTGGGCTGGATGAAGCACAAGCTGGAATCAAGATTGCAGGGGAAAAATATCAATAATATTATATATGCAGATGATACCACCCTTATGGCAGAAAGCAAAGAGGAATAAATAGCCTCCTGACGAAAGTGAAAGAGGAGAGTGAAAAAATTGGCTTAAAACTCAACATTCAGAAAACTAAGATCATGGCATCCGGTCCCATCACTTCATGGCAAATAAATGGGGAAACAATGGAAACAGTGACAGACTAGTTTTGGGGGGCTCCAAAATCACTGCAGATGATGACTGCGACCATGAAATTAAAAGACACTTGCTCCAGTGGTGCTGGGAAAACTGGTCAACCACTTGTAAAAGAATGAAACTAGAACACTTTCTAATGCCATACACAAAAATAAACTCAAAAATGGATTAAAGATCTAAATGTAAGGCCAGAAACTATAAAACTCCTAGAGGAGAGAATAGGCAAAACACTCTCCGACATAAATCACAGCAGGATCCTCTATGACCCACCTCCCAGAATATTGGAAATAAAAGCAAAAATAAACAAATATGTACCCCAATGTTCATCACAGCACTGTTTATAATAGCCAGGACATGGAAGCAACCTAGATGCCCATCAGCAGACGAATGGATAAGAAAGCTATGGTACATATACACCATGGAATATTACTCAGCCATTAAAAAGAATACATTTGAGTCAGTTCTAATGAGATGGATTAAACTGGGGCCCATTATACAGAGTGAAGTAAGCCAGAAAGAAAAACACCAATACAGTATACTAACACATATATATGGAATGTTGATAGATGGTAACAATAACCCTACATGCAAGACAGAAAAAGAGACACAGATGTATAGAACAGACTTTTGGACTCTGTGGCAGAAGGCGAGGGTGGGATGATCTGAGAGAATGGCATTGAAACATGTATGTTATCAAGTGTGAAACAGATCGCCAGTCCAGGTTGGATGCATGAGACAAGTGCTCAGGGCTGGTGCACTGGGATGACCCAGAGGGATGAGACGGGGAGGGAGGTGGGAGGAGGGTTCAGTATGGGGAACACATGTACATCCATGGCTGATTCATGTCAATGTATGGCAAAAACCACTACAATAAAGTAATTAGCCTCCAACTAATAAAAATAAATGAAAAAAATAAAAGATGCTTTCTCCTTGGAAGAAAAGCTATGTCCAACCTAGACAGCATATTAAAAAGCAGAGACATTACTTTGCCAAGGTAATTACTTTGGTAATTACCTTGCCAAAGGTCCATCTAGTCAAAGCTATGGTTTTTCCAGTAGTCATGTATGGATTTGACAGTTGGACTATAAAGAAAGCTGGGCACTGAAGAATTGATGCTTTTGAACTGTGGTGTTGGAGAAGATTCTTGAGAGTCCCTTGGACTGCAAGGAGATCAAACCAGTCAGTGCTAAAGGAAGTCAATCCTGAACATTCACTGGAAGGACAGATGCTAAAGTTGAAGCTCCAATACTTTGGCCACCTGATGGGAAGAACTGACTCATTGGAAAAGACCCTGATGCTGGGAAAGTTTGAAGGCAGGAGAAGGGGACGACAGATGATGAGATGGTTGGATGGCATCACCGATTCGATGGACATGAGTTTGAGCAAGTTCCAGGAGTTGACAGGGAAGCCTGGCATGCTGCAGTTCATGGAGTGGCAAACATTTGGACATGACTGAGTGACTGAACCGAACTGAAAGGCAATTAATTCCATATATACCTTTTACCCTTTTATCTTCTAATACAACCTAAAATGTAAGCCTCTTGAATTATTTAACCATCTCTCAAATCATTATCCTATTCTTCCTCCACCCTTTCCCATTTTTTCATTTCTACAAGTTCTAACAACACTGTTTCTAATTATTGCAAGGAAACTATTTTTCTTACCTCATTTCTCTCATTCGTTCACCCATTCATTCAATTTAGCAAAGCAGACAGATACTCAAACCAAAAAAATTGAGCATCTAGGGGAGACTAAGGGACTCAAAGAAGGCTTCGAGAGTGATATCTAAGCTGAGATTGAATGATTAGTAGGAAATAACCAGGAACTCTGAAGAAAGGAGCAGAAGAAGATAAGATTTAGATGGCCAAGGGAAAAGACTGAAGGCCTGGAGCCAAGAGGAGGCACACTTCAGATTCTAGTATGGTGGGTGGTAGTTTAGCCACTAAGTCGTGTCTGACTCTTGTGACCTCATAAACTGTAGCCTGGCAGGCTCCGCTGTCCATGGGATTGTTCTAGTAAGAACACTGGAGTGGGTTGCAATTTCCTTCTCCAGGGGATCTTCCTGACCCAAGGATCAAACGGCAAATTCTTTACTGACTGAGCCACCAGGGAAGCTCAGATTCCAGTACATCTACCACTTTTCCTGGAAGCCTTTCTTGATCGCTTCCATTTTAATTTAGGTGTTTTTCATCTGTACTCCCATGCATAGAATCTGTAATTCCTTTATCATAGCAGTTATCAGGATGTATCACTACTGCTTAACCTGATCATCATTCCTCCACTGGACCACAAACACTTTGAGGGCAGGGACAAGATTATGTTGGCTTATTACTAACTCCCCACCCCCTAGAGCAGTGACTAAGTTCAGTAGGCACTTAATAAACACTTATTTAATACATGACTGTTAAAATGAATAAATAAATGTCAGTTTTTAAAGATAATTGAATTTTTAATGCTCTTGCACTGTTGCTGGAAATATAGATTGATACAGTCACTGTGGAAGATGGTATGGAGATTCCTTAAAAAACTAGGAATAAAACCACCATATGACCCAGCAATCCCATTCCTAGGCATATGCCCTGAGGAAACCAGGGTTGAAAAAGACACATGTATCCCATTGTTCACTGCAGCACTATTTACAATAGCTAGAACACTGAAGCAACCTTGATGCCCATCAACAGATGAATGGATAAAGAAGTTGTGGTACATATACACAATGGAATATTACTCAGTCATAAAAAGGAACACATTTGAGTCAGTTCTGATGAGGTAGATGAACCTAGAACCTATTATATAGAGTGAAATGAGTAAGAAAGAGAAAGATAAATATTATATTCTAACGCACATATATGGAATCTATAAAAATGGTTCTGAAGAATTTATTTACAGGGCAGCAATGGAGAAACAGACATAAAGAATAGACTTATGGACAAAGGGAGAGGGGAGAAGGGGGTAAGATGTATGGAAAGAGTAACATGGAAACTTATATTACCATATGTAAAATAGATAGCCAATGGGAATTTGCTGTATGACTCTCAGTGAGTGATCACACCATCATGGTTATCTGGGTCATGAAGATCTTTTTTGTATAGTTCTTTTGTGTATTCTTGCCACCTCTTAATATCTTATGCTTCTGTTAGGTCCATACCATTTCTGTCCTTTGTTGAGCCCATCTTTGCATGAAATGTTCCCTTGGTGTCTCTAATTTTCTTGAAGAGATCTCTAGTCTTTCCCATTCTATTGTTTTCTTCTGTTTCTTTGCATTGATCACTTAGGAAGGCTTTCTTATCTCTCTTTGCTATTCTTTGAAACTCTGCATTCAGATGGATATATCTTTCCTTTTCTCCTTTGCCTTTCCCTTCCCTTCTCTTCTCGGCTATTTGTAAGGCCTCCTCAGACAGCCATTTTGCCTTTCTTTTTCTTGGGGATGGTTTTGATCACTGCCTCCTGTACAGTGTGAACAAACCTCTGTTCATAGTTCTTCAGGTGCTTTGTGTATCAGATCTAATCCCTTGAATCTCTCAGTTTACAGCAAAATTATTGCTCTAGTACTAGATCTGACTGGAGGTTACAGACAATGTCAGGAGGTATTTCTCAGTGTTTTACCTCATAATATTAAAGCGTTTCCCCAGAAGAGGTGGCAACGATTTGGCCATGTTATAGTGATAAAAAGAACAATTTTATCAGACAGATTTGAGCAATGAAATTAGAAATCACAGGACCAGGACCTGATATCAGAATAATCTTTTACTTACACAAGTTATTTCTCCTCTTTGTGCCTCACTCTATCTATTTGTAAAATAAGAATTATCACTTACTTTCTATTTCAACAGGAATGTTTCAAGATAAAATGTATCAGCCATCAAATATTTTGATTGAGCCTACTATGCACCTTGGTTCTCAGCATTGTTTTAAATGCTGAGGATACAGCAGTAAACAAGACAAACATGGCCCTGCCCTCAAGGGGTTGCCTCTAATTGGAGGATACAGACAATAAACAAATAAGATAATATCAGCTACTGATGAGAGCTAAAAAGTTAATTAGAAGAGTACAGTAAAGAGTAGTGGGGCAGGAGAGACAGTTTAGCTAGACTTTTCAAAAGGCTTCTCTGAGGAGATATCATTAAGGTTTGATTAATAAAATGATACACATGTGAAGGAGCTTCCCTGATGGCTCAGTGGTAAAGAATCCACCTGCCAATGCAGGAGACACAGGTCGATTCTTGGGTTGGGAAGATCTCCTGGAGAAGAAAATGGCAAACCAACCCACTCCAGTATTCTTGCCTGGGAAATCCCATGGACAGAGGAGCCTGGTGGCCTACAGTCCATGGGATCGCAAAAAGAGTTGGACATGACTTGGCAGCTAAACAACAACAAGCATGTAAAAAGATAGGGGGAAAAGAGTCCAAACAGGAGGAACACTAAAAGTCAAGATATAGAAATAGAAATAAGCTTTCAGAATTAACGACCTGAACCAAGACCAGTGTGGCTGGAGTGTGATCAGTAAGAAAGAATGTAGAGGGAGAAAAATCAAAAGGTCAGCAAGGAACAGATAGACCAGTTCCAGAAGTTGGATTTTGTTACAAGTAATATGGGAAGACATCAGAGGATTTTTTAATCTTTGGATTTATGTGATTTTTAAAGTATTTTAAAGATGTTTTAGAAAGATGGAATAGCCTGTAGAGGGGCAAAAATGGAAGCAGAGAGGCCATTAGAAAGATAATACATCTTTCAAAAGATGATAGTGGATTGCCTAGCAATGCAGCACTGAAGAAGGGAGAATGTGTGAGATGTGCAAAGGATTTTGGGAGTGGTACCAGTAGAACTTGCTGTGGGGTTAGATATAGGGCTGAGATAAATCGTTAAAATCTTGAGTTAAAGTTCCATGTAGTTTTTTATTTTTAATTAAATCACCTTATAATATAGAATTTTAAGGTGTTTTCATGATAATCTTAAAAAAGGAAATATAAGCATATTCTGGTATACTAGCATGCAGTTTGTGTCCCAAATAAGTTTATATTTAGAATCTCATTAGTGTCAAAGTGATTTCTTAAACTCGCAGAGTTTAATTTCTAATTTTCTCAACCAAAAGTCACGTTTCAGAAATTCTGCCCTACAGAAGTTTGGGGATATATTGGGAATAATTTTGATAAATGATGAATTAGAATCAACTGATTTCACAAAACAAGTCATTTTGGGGCTGAAAAATAAGGAAAATTTGAAAATATATATTTTGCCTTTGTGTTTTATATTTTCAATTATATAAATGCTGAATTCAAATCAATTATGGATAAAAGTAATCAAAATAAAATATACACATCTTGTTATAGGTAGTATTTTGAAGAAAGATTTTATTAAAAAAGTAGAAGCTTGAAGAGCTTGATTTTGGTTCCTGGATTTAAGAGCATTTTACTATATTTGTAGGCCTTTTATTCAATAAACATTTTGCTCTTAACTCTAATTTTCTCAGCATATGAGAGAGGAATGGTTTGAATTAACTCCAGGGTCCTTTCCAGATTGAAAAATTTAATCAAACTATAGCATTTGCATTTTTGTTGTTGGTGGTTTTTTTTTAAGCCTGCGGTGTTTGGAAAAAAAAGTGCTTTGAAACAAAGAAAGTTACAGCATCATTGGAGGAAGTTTTAACAAAACTTCGAGAAGATTTGGAACTTTACTATAAAAAATTGCTCATGCAACTTGAAGCCAGGGAGATCAAGATGAGACCAAAGAATCTTGCAAACATCACAGACTCTAAGGTACTATTAAATGTGTTCACATTCTATTGTGTGTGCATGCTAAGTCACTTCAGTCGTGCCTGACTCTTTGCAACCCTATGGACTATAGCCTGCCAGGCTTCTCTGTCCATGGGGATTCTCCAGGCAAGAATACTGGAGTGGGTTGCCAGTCCCTTCTCCCAGGGGTCTTCCCAAGCCAGGGATCGAACCCAGGTCTCCTGCCTTGCAGGCAGATTCTACACTGTCTGAGCCACCAGGGAAGCCCCTGTGCTGTATATCACATCCCTAGAACTTGTAGATCTTATATCTGCAAGTTTGTAACTTTTGACCACTGTCACCCATTTCTCCCAACCCCCACCTCCCATTTCGCCAACCACCAATCTACTCTGTTTCTATGAGTAAAAGTTTACCATTTTAGGTCAATTTAATGTAAACTCCAAATAGTTTTAAATAAAGTTTTCTCCGTATTAGAAGATACTATTTTTAAGCATCATTGAAACTTTTTATCTGTTTTCTCCAGTTCAATATATGATAATGTCCTTTTCATGAAAGCAGCTTAAATTATTTCTTTGCAGACAGTTACACCTCACAAAGAATAGCAAGGAGAGATAAGAAAGCCTTCCTCAGTGATCAGTGCAAAGAAATAAGAGGAAAACAATAGGATGGGAAACACTAGGGATCTCTTCAAGAAAATTAGAGATACCAAGGGAGCATTCATGCAAAGATGGGCACAATAAAGGACAGAAATGGTATGGACCCAACAGAAGCAAAAGATACTAAGAAGAGGTAGCAAGAATCCACCAAACTATACAAAAAGGATCTTCATGACCCAGATAATCATGATGGTGTGATCATTCACCTAGAGCCAGACATCCTGGAGTAAGAAGTCAAGTGGGCCTTAGGAAGCATCACTATGAACAAAGCTAGTGGAGGAGGTGATGGAATTTCACTGAGCTATTTCAAATCCTAAAAGATGATGCTGTGAAAATGCTGCACTCAATATGCCAGCAAATTTGGAAAACTCAGCAGTGGCCACAGGACTGGGAAAGATCAGTTTCATTCCAATCCCAAAGAAAGGCAATGCCAAAGAATGCTCAAACTACTGCACAATTGCACTCATCTCACACACTAGCAAAGTAATGTTCATAATTCTCCAAGCTAGGCTTCAACAGTATGTGAACTGAAAACTTCCAGAAAATCCAGTTTAAAAATCCAGTTCAAGTTGGATTTAGAAAAGGCAGAGGAACCAGAGATCAAATTGCCAACATCCACTGGATCAGAGAAAAAGCAAGAGAGTTCCAGGAAAACATCTACTTCTGCTTCTTTGACTATGGCAAAGCTTTTGACTGTGTGGATCACAGAAAAGTGGAAAATTCTTAAAGAGAAGGGAATACCAGACCATCTTACCTGCCTCCTGAGAAATCTGTATGCAGGTTAAAAAGCAAGTTAGAACCAAACAAAGGACTGGTTCCAAATTGGTAAAGGGGTACGTCAAGGCTGTATACGGTCACCCTGCTTACTTAACTTATATGCAGATGACATGCAAAATGCCAGGCTGGATGAAACACAAGCCGGAATCAAGGTTGCTGGGAGAAATATCAATAACCTCAGATAGCAAGGGGGAACTAAAGAACCTTTTGATGAAGGTGAAAAAGGAGAGTGAAAAAGCTGGCTTAAAACTCAACATTAAGAAAACTAAGTTCATGGCATCCAATCCCATCACCTCATGGCAAATAGGTGGGGAAACACTGGAAACAGTGACAGCCTTTATTTTCTTGGGCTCCAAAATCACTGCAGACTATGACTGCAGCCATGAAATTAAAAACACTTGTTCCTTGGAAGAAAAGCTATGACAAACCTATAGAGCATATTTAAAAGCAGAGACATTACTTTGCCAACAAAGGTCCATATAATCAGAGATATGGTGTTTCCCTCTTAGCTCAGTTGGTAAAGAATCTACCTGCGACACAGAAGACCTGGGTTCAATTCCTGTGTCAAGAAGATCCCCTGTGGAAGGAAATGGCAACCTACTCTAGTATTCTTGCCTGGAGAATCCCATGGACAGAGGAGCCTGGCAGGCTACAGTCCATGGAGTTGCAAGACTTGGACTTGACTTAGTGACGAAACCATCTCATGGTTTTTCCAGTAGTCATGTATGGATGTGAGAGTTGGACCATGAAGAAGGCTGGGCGCCAAAGAATTGATGCTTCTGAACTGTCATGTTGGAGAAGATTCTTGAGAGTCCCTTGGACTGCAAGGAGATCAAATCAGTCCATCCTAAAGGAAATCAACCCTGAATATTCATTGGAAGGACTGATGATGAAGCTGAAGCTCCAATGCTTTGGCCACCTGATGGGAAGAGCCGACTCACTGGAAAAGACCCTTGTGCTCAGAAAGATTGACAGCAGGAGAAGGGGATGACAGAGGACAAGATGGTCAAATGGCATCGCCGACTTAATGGACATGAGTTTGAGCAAGCTCCAGGAGATGGTGAAGGACAGGGAAGCCTGGCATGCTACAGCCCATAGGGTAATAAAGAATCAGACACAACTAACAACTGAAGAAAGAACAATAACAGCTCACAAACTTTTCTGAACAAAAGTAACCAAAAGATTACTTAAGTAACCTTTACTTCACTAAAATAGGTTTTCTCATATTAAACAGATTTTCTTATAAAATACAGTATTTCATTATTAAATATTTTAATGTGATTCTATTATGATTCCACTGATAAACCATTATGCCAATTTCTGAAGTCTTGCAAAGAATCTTAAACCTAGTATATTCATCTTATAGTAATAGTTGTTGGATTCTATGGTGCTAATTTAATGGTAAATTTTACAAATACCTATTTATTTTTATAACACATGAAAATGGTAGTAGAGCATAAAGGAAAGTGGTCCCTAAAGCATAAGAAATTAACAACTCAATAATTTAAACAACTCGATAATTTACTGCAAAGCAACAAGCTTATTTTATGGAATAGGTTATTTTCATGATATGCTCTTTTGATATTTGGTGTCTTTTTGTTGTTTATATTGACAAAGAATTAAAAATTTAAAAGGTAGATGTTATACTAAACAGGCATCTTTATATGTCCCATACAGAATTACCTTATCATCCAGATCACTGAAGTACAACATGCTATTGATCAACTTAAGAGAAAACTGGATACTGACAAAATGAAACTCATAATAGAAATTAAGGTACTCTGAATTTCCCCTAATAAGATTGTAACATTTATCTTGAAATAAACTACTTTGGTGTTTTAACTTTGCTTGTCAATAGTGTAAAGGCAGTAAGGACTGTCTTAAAATTGTTACCTTAACAAAAAGCATGAATGAAAAAAGTACAAGAATAATAATGAAATCCTGTGAAAAGATCCCTAACAAGGCCAAAGCAAAACTTAGTAAAACTTCACTAAGTAAAGTAAAAGAACCTTGTGAATCAGTATCCCTTCCATCCATCATGTGCTCAGTCCTGTCTGCCGACTCTTTGTGATCCCATAGACTGTAGCTCACCAGGCTCCTCTGTCCATGGGATTTTCCAGGCAAGGATACTGGAGTGCATTGCCATTTCCTTCTCCAGCAGATCTTCATGACCCAGGGATCAGACCCATGTCTCCTGTCAGAACCAGGAGACATTGCAGGCAGATTATTTACCTCTTGAGCCATCAGGGAAGCCTGTGAATCAGTACAGAGTCTCCATAAAATATTTTGAAAGAAGTAATTTTCATACATTAGCATCATTCATACCTAAGTCTGACAAACCACTGAGCTCTCTGAGCTCCCATTTAATTTTAATGTTTTCTCCTCTCTTGGGTAATTATCTCATTTACTCTGGTTATTTTCATAGATATATATACAATGTTATATGAGTGCTCTCAATTCACCTCTTTATCAGAAATAGCTTTATGACAGAGAATAATGACCCCTGTCAAGAATTAGCACTGTCCAATACAACTTTCTGTGATGGCGGAAATGTTTAAGACCTGCAATATCTGATAAGGTAGCCACTAGCCACATAAGGATGTTGAACACTTGATATATAGATTGTTGTGTGACTGAGGAATTGAATTTTAGATTTAATCTTAGTTACTTTCAGGTTAAATAGTTACATGTGACAAGTGGCTACTCTACTGGACAGAACTGTTCTAGATTGTTTTCACTAGCAGCATTCTCCAGACTAAACCCCTGCTCAGCACTGAGAAGCTTAAAACTACACGAAAGGAAAAAGGTAAAGGACAATTTTAAACCAAAAAAAAGGGAGTTATTTGACATTTTTATACAGTATACACTCAAAAAAATAGTTCATTCAGTGAATAAAAACTCCTGTGTATCCAGAAAAAGGAGAGAAATCAAGCATAAAACTTGTCCGCTTAAGGATAGGTGGATGGGTAGAAGACCCACCAGGGCCTTCAATTACAACTTCCTCAATGCCATTTTCTTCTGGAAAGCATACACATTAGTTCTTACCACTTTTTGTATATTTTAGCCTTATAAATATTACATATAAATGGTTTGAACTCAAATTAGAACTATAGTGAAAAAACAGGAAAGACATGTAAAAAAAGAGAACCACATTTTTGGCTTACAGGCTGCAGGGGAAAAAAATCCTACATTAACCATAGGGACTAACTGTCACATAGTAGACATTATAAGATACATTATAAGAATTTATATATCTATACATAAGATACAGATCTAAGGAGCAGAAACCCTATTTTGACTGTTGCAACCATATTCAAATAATATAGCACAATCTGCTTCTCAAAGTTCAATGTTACATCACCTGGAGATCCTGTTAAAACTAGCAGGATCTGATTCAACAGATCTCTGGGGGAAGCCTGAAAATCTTCAGCACTAATAGACTCCCAGGTGATGCTGATGCTGCTGGTCCACAAACAATACTCAGAATGGCAAGTTCTGGTAGCAGATGGTCTAAGTTTGAATTCTGGCTGTGCCATTTTCTGGTTTTATACCTTAGCAATCTACTTAACTTCTAGGCATTTCAGTTTCCTTAGCTGTAAAATGAGGAGAAATAACAGTAACAGCTTCAATTAAATTTTCCGGAAGAATCTAAGGGGTTAATGCACTTAAAAGAGTGCTTACCACACTATTATATTTCTTAAGTACTTGCTTGGTTTCTAAGGTCAGGAAATTAAGTTTTTTTGTAATTTATTTAGGAGTCACAGGTTTTTTGCTTTTACCATTTTCTTTACACATTGAGAAGATATTGAAATAAATGAAAGATAAAATTCTTTCTCACTCTAGTTTTTTAGAACCATTTATTTTTATCATGTTTATATACTAATAAGTGAAATTATTTGGTAGCATACCTAGCAGTAGATAAGCATGCTTTCTCAGAGGGACTTATGAACTATACATTTACCACAGTAATCCAGTGCAAACAAAGGCACTGAAGGCAAATGAGAGAAGACATGAAAGCTGTTTCAAAACCCCTTATTTATATGACAATTATATAATTTTAGAAAAGATGGAAGTTCATTTTTGAAAGACAATTCTTTTTTATAGATGAGAAAACAAGCAACTTCAGATTTACGCACAATGAAAGCTGAACTGGCACAGAAGAAACTTAATACAGCTTTTCAATCTCAATTAGGTATGTTAATTTAAAACTTTTATTGGTCAAAGATCCAGTGATTAAGATTCCGCACTTCCATTATAGGGAGTGCAGGTTCAATCTCTGGTCTAGGAACTAAGATCCCATATGCATTGTGGTATGGCCAAAAAAAATTTTTTTTTTACTTACTTGAACATATTTGTTTAACCATTGTTCTCCTTGTTTCATATAAATTATAAGTTTTACATATTTTCCCTTGTGGCCATTATACAGTGTTTCAGGAAATATAGGTGTAAAAAAGCAAAATGGTGGTTATTTGGCTATTTTTTTAAGGTTTGAAATGTATTACATTTTATTTTACAGTACTATATTTTATCATTTTCATTTTTAAATAGTCTTAAAATATAATACCTAATATGACTGTAAAATGAAAAGTTATTTAATAAATATGAGTCTAACTTGCATTCACAGCTATGACAGAGATTAGTACTGAGTATTTAAATCTTTTAAATTTATTTTAAAAATACAAAGACAATAGTAATCAGCAAATACTATGGAAAATGGTTGGTTTTACTTTGCTATAAATAATTATGCAAGTAGGAAATGAATTATTCTCATAACAGAAGACTCAACCGTTATTTATCCAATTTGAAAAGGGCAGAATGCACAGTGAAGGCAGGGTTAATGTAAATCCAGAGTTTAAGAGTGCAGATTTTTAAGCTAAGAATTTATAGGAATTAATATAAATGCAACACAATATTCTTCTAAATTGGCTTGAGAAGGAAACACAGACCCCTGTACATTTCTTTGCACAAAATTTTTCTTTTAGGAAGAAAACCACAGTTAAGAAACTAATGTTTTTAGATAATCAAAACACAGATATAGAAATTGAAAAAATTTAACTATGCAAACAAAACTAACCAGGATATATAAATGTCCATCAGTGAAGGAATATTAATAATTTGGAAGGGTAAATGACAATGAACAGAACTGGGTTCAACATCAAGTTTTTTGTAAACATTTCAGATATGACCTCAAAAAAATAATTAGTTGGTAAATATTAGATATATTTAACCTACTAATTCAAAAATTACTATTAAGTTACCTTCTTATATTTTCTAAGTATTTTGATCTTTTATATTCATTTTTTTCCCCTTTGGAGACTTAAGTGAGTTTCATTCAAGTGACTCAGAGAACATGAGTGTTATAAGGAATCAGGAAGCAGAAAAATTATTTGCATCAATTTGGTGAACCTAAAGACACAAAATTGCAGGTTTAAAATTTATTGAAAAAAGTATAAAACAGATTCCCAGAGTAAAATTTTAAAAATCTATCCCTAAGCAAACAATTTCCACTTCAAATTATACATATTTTTAAAACTGTCACTGATTTGTAAGTATATATTTTAATATCATTTATTATCATTTAAAATTTTAGCATAATAAAATTCTGAAAGCAGTTGTTCCCAACTATAGGTATTAAACTTCTTACAGGGGAATATTTGACATGGTAAGTTGACTTGCTTCTTACCTTTATGTTGTGTACCACAGAAGATATACATAGGTAAGTATTTTTCAATTTCAAACAATCAAAGCATTTCTTTGTTCTTTATCTGTTTTTGAGAATACTAATAACTAAAATATATAAGAACATGAAAAAAGGTCTAAATTTTTTAATCTCTTCCAGAAACTAGATAGATTTAAACAGATCATTTTTCTAAATCTTCATAGTTTAACAAAAGACGTTCATCTCTGGTCACAACTTTGGTTTTAAGGCTTTCCACATTTCTTCAGTTTGCTGTTTTGCTATAGCATCTCCAGAGTAGTCAAGGCAGTTTGCATGCCACATGCCAATGCCGAGTAAGCCACGTTTTTGTACATATGATGCCTTTAGAGAAATGCTCTGAGGGTCATCATACCACACTTGATGGAAATGGCCAGCCTGATCCTGTACAAATAAATTAAAATGTAACTTGAAAATAGTCTGCACAATAAGAGGAAAAAGTGTTTCTTAAATCCAATGATTCAAATAGGATACAACTGAAATAATAAAACTTTCAGGACACCCATAATACATTCCAACGTTCTATATGTGATACTTTCTAGATATCATTGCCTGTAGCACTTTTACAACAATAAAGATTACACAAATGAACCTCCCAATATATCTTATTTAAAATCCTTCTCATGCTCTAAGATTCCTTCCTTACTCTGATTTGGTGATTATCAATCAAGATGTACTGGTCACATCTGAATCACTTGTGAGGACTTTTAAAAACAGATTCCTAGGACCCACACCACATGAAACCTATTGAATCAAAATCTTCCAGGGCTAGTGCTGTAACATATATTTGGGTCTTTGTGTTATGTTTTAATGTCCCATTAGGTGATTCTGATATGTAGTCAAGATTAAGGAGGATCACTGCTTTTGCCCTCTAAAACCCAACTTATACACTTTTTTTTTTTTTTTTTGCATTCACTTACAGTTCCTGGGAAGGTACCTAGTTAGAAGCTCAACAGGTGACTTTGTTTATGATGGAACAGTCAGTTCAAAAGGTAATGACAATGGATGAAGAAAATATCTCCTTTTCTAGGTCTTACAGAATTGAGTCTAAGAGCCTGTGGGTCTGGACCCCATGGGTGACTTAGGCATACACCTGATTAAGAACCACAAGCTAGAAACTGGTCTTAGGCTTACTTTCCACCCTGAAAAGTCCTTTTCCCCACCACCACTTGCCTCTATCTAGCACTAACCACAGTCTCTTTTAGAAGGTATATAAGCTATGGATAAAGGATAAAAGAAAGAGGAAAGGAGCAGAATTAGGCAAAAGGGTAAAGGAAGGGGGAAAGATAGGAAGTAAAAAATAGAACGATCTGTGATTTAAAATAATTTACTGATTTTTATATACATCTGGGGAACTCTTTAAAGGCAATTCTCAATGAATATCAGTAATATTTTTATTTATACTAGCACCATGAGAATTAGAATCATCTCCTAAGATGACTGCTTTAAAGGATAGTAGTCACTTGGTAAATGAATAAGCTGTGGATATATAAGTATAGCAGATTCATTACATATAAGCGTATCTCATACTATATCTTATATCCCATTATTTAAAATGTTTAGAGCTAGAAAAAGACATACATGCTCTAGTATCAATCGTGATTCAATATTAAAAGGCAACTTGCAAACCTTGTCCCTAAATATAGAAAGATTTATTTTTTTAGAGGCAGGGGCAAAGACATATTGCCCCGAAGACATATCCCTTTGAATTTTGTCATCATTCTATTGGGTTAGCCAAAAAGTCTGTTTAGCTTTTTCCATACCAGCTTACAAAATCGGAATGAAATTTCTGGCCAACCCAATAGAACTCTGAGTCTTTTTGATATATTAAAAATTTCTAATACCTCAAATAGTGAAGGATCAAAGGATGAAAAACTGGATATCTGTAAAAATGACATATGCCTGGTAAAGAATATATGCCTCCAAGAATATTGACTGCAAGGTGAAGCTGCTATTGCTGAGGCAGCATTAGAAAGCACAATGATTCTCTTCAGTTAAAACATAAACTTGATTTGGGTTGCTATGGAATTTTACAAAGAATGAAGGAGAACAAATTGGTTATAGCTAGATGGTTGTCTGAAGTGCCATTAAATGAATGGTTTTCAAGGCTCATCAAGATGTTTCCTCAGTTCTAAAATCTTAAAGAATATGTCTTATTATGCATTAAGGAAAAAAATAAGGAATTACAAAAAAACAGTACATCATAGGGTAAACTATTTTAAAATATGTATTTCCAAACTATATATAATTGGTTAAATAAGCCATTTACCAAACTGATGTCCATGAAAAACTGTTCCCCTGCAAGTTTCTAAGGGTGTTGAGAAACAGGGTTCTATGTTAAACAATTAAATGACTTTATGTACTATGCTGCTGCTGCTAAGTCGCTTCAGTCGTGTCCGACTCTGTGCGACCCCATAGACAGCAGCCCATCAAGGCTCCCCCGCCCCTGGGATTCTCCAGGCAGAACACTGGAGTGGGTTGCCATTTCCTTCTCCAATGCATGAAAGTGAAAAGTGAAAGTGAAGTCGCTCAGTCATGTCCAACTCTTTGCAACCCCATGGACTGCAGCCTACCAGGCTCCTCCATCCATGGGATTTTCCAGGCAAGAGTACTGGAGTGGAGTGCCATTGCCTTCTCTGTTATGTACTATAGTACATCTCAAATCCTTGAATATTATGCTATACATTATAAATCTTCAAGAGAGACTTATAGTATGTAGTGTTTTCCAGATATATTTGGCTATGGCATGTGTGTGTATGTGGGGGTTTTTTTCAGTGAATTCTTTTAGAATTTAATTTAACCTTTAAAATTTAAAATTATACAATTTTGAAGGTTACTTTCCAATATTGGCTATATTCCTTGTTCTGTACAGTACATCCTTGAGCCTATCTTATACCCAACAATTTGTTCCTCCCACTTGCCCACCTCCTATATTGCCCCCTCACTGCACTTCCCACTAGTAACCACTTGAGTGTATGTATGCGTGTGTGTGTGTGTGTGTGTGTGTGTGCATTGTTAACAGTTCCCAGAACACAATTCTATAAATACTGTTTGGTAAAGACAGGATCACAATATACCCAAGTTTAATTAATGTTTATACTTTACATTCTAGATTCTAAAGTTTAAAAAGCTCTACCCTAAAACTTTCTACATAAATAATATACAGGCATGTACATGTACATCAATTATAATTTATTAAATATGTATATAAGTACTCATTTTTTGTAAATGGGTATCAGACTATCAGAAAAATATATATACATTCTTGCTGGAATTAACATTCATCATATCATTTTAGGGTTCCTTTAATAGTTAACATAATCTAAGGCAAATTCAAAGATGGTTTGTATTTAAAATTTTTTGAGGTGTGAAAAAGTTTTTATTATGCTAAAGGTAAACTATGGATAATATAACTTTTTTTATCCCTTCAGTATGGCAATTCCTGTTTATCAAAAACTACCTGACAGAATTATTAGTTATTTACTCTGTTTCTTCAAGTTTCTGTTTGTAATATTTTTCACTCTCTAATTTTTAATATTGTTTATAATTTATTTAATATCACAGTTTGAACTGTGGGATAAATTTGGAATGATACAATTTTCCATTGTAAAGTACATGATGATGCATCTCCTAGTCTCAGTCTCATTCCTTCCAATATAACAGCCTCATAAGAATCATGAGGCTGCTTTGAAATGGAGATTTTCAGAGCAAGTAACCTATTTTGGTCCAAAGTCCTTTCAAAAGCCACAGACATCATTTACAATTGTCAACTCCTAAGAAAATTGTTTGTGATATACATGTTTTTATTATATCATCTAAAATGACAAGTGGCTCATGCAGAGCAGTTCCACTATTAGCATAATTTGAATTGCTCACAAGGGAAGTCAAGTTCCTGATTACACAGATTCAAAAACAAGTCTACTCATGTAAACAGCAGTCTGTATGTTGTATCCTATAAGAAAACTGATAGAAAAAAATCTTACTATCAAATATGTAATTATAAAAACATGAACTTATGAAAACTAATAAAGATTTGTAACTTGTGGATAGTCTTACTTTATAGTGATAATAAGGAGACTGCTGATTTTTATCCCACAGCCTTCCAGAAGTAGAACTATTTACTTGCTTCATAATTGTCTGATAAGCCACTTGATGATGTACAGCTTCGCTACAAGGGTATTTTGCAGTGGTACAAACATGATCCTATAAACACAAAAATGTTCATGTCACAGATTATCAATTAAGCAAACCTTCAGAGTCAAACCCAAAATTATAAAAATTAGACATGAAATATAAACTATAAATAGATAATCTGACTATACAAATTAAAGTTAAATTTTAACATTAAATAGAAATATAGTAACATTCATACACTTGTATGGGATTTAATTATTTATTTAGTCTCAAGCTATATTAAAGAAGTTCTCCATAAAGTATATGTATTCTATAGAGAGAAGTTTCTAAACTCTAAATAAAATGAAGTTTATATAGAGGAAACAAAACAAGTTCTAAAAAATATAATAAAAAGAGAAAAAAATTACATAAGAAATGATCTGTTCTTACCAGTGATAGATTTTGGCAGGTATAATCATAACCATACCAGGGAATACCCATTACAAGTTTCTTAGGGTTAATTCCAATCTTGATGAATTCATCATATCCTGATCAAATAGGAACAGAAAAAGCATATTATTTTTCTCTTCATATATCTACTAATGTGTTCATATAAGCTATGTAACCACTCAGAATCCAAGTTTGTAAAAACAGGTACATTTATGCAAGACACTACAGTGTTTCTCTAATATACTACAAAAGTCATCCCTTAAAATCTTTAAATTTTGTATCACTTTCTAAGCCATTTGTTTTATAAAATATTTATTTATTTGGCTGCACTGAGTCTTCATTGTGGCATGCAGGATCATTAGTTGTGGCATACAGCATCTTTTATTTTTGGCATGCAGCTCTTTTAGTTGCAGCATGTAAATGAATAGAAAACATTCGAAACAAAATCAAATTGCAGCAAAAAATTCACAAAATTTAAGAACAATGGCACATTTCAGGAAAGCACGTTAATTGTGTCTATTAACTACTAAGGCACAGATTTGATATCATAGATTCTAAAGCTTTAAAAAAGTTGTGTAAGTCAAACTTTCTGGTTGCTGCTGCTAAGTCACGTCAGTCGTGTCTGACTCTGTGCAACCCCATAGACAGCAGCCCACCAGGCTCTCCTGTCCCCGGAATTCTCCAGGCAAGAACGCTGGAGTGGTCTGCCAGTTCCTTCTCCAATGCATGAAAGTGAAAAGTGAAAGTGAAGTCGCTCAGTCGTGTCCGACTCTTAGCGACCCCATGGACCGCAGCCTACTAGGCTCCTCCATCCACAGGATTTTCCAGGCAAGAGTACTGGAGTGGGGTGCCATTGCCTTCTCCAAAACGTTCTGGTAAGGGTCCCAAAACTACTTCTTGAATGCACAAGTGTTTCACATTTTATCAGTATCCTAAAGGAGATCAGTCCTGGGTGTTCACTGGAAGGACTGATGTTGAAGCTGAAACTCCAATACTTTGGCCATCTGATGCGAAGAGCTGACTCATTTGAAAAGACCCTGATGCTGGGAAAGATTGAGGGTAGGAGGAGAAGGGGATGACAGAGGATGAGATGGATGGATGGCATTACTGACTCAATGGACATGGGTTTGGGTAGACTCCAGCAGTTGGTGATGGACAGGGAGGCCTGGCGTGCTGCGGTTCATGGGGTTGCAAAGAGTTGGACACGACTGAGCAACTGAACTGAACTATAAACATGAATTACAGCTACACTATATTACTTGGTAGCAGATAATCTATAGATAGGAAACAGAGAAAAATGAATAAATCCATGGTCCTATCAATTCCTTTCTTGCCCATGCTGCAAAATATGTTTTCCCACAAAGACATGTTCCAAGATTAGCTAGGATGAGTTGAGTAATTTGCTGTTTTTCAGAGTCTTTAAAGTTACCATGTACTGTTCAATATCCAAGAGGATGGAGTATGCATCATTTCCCAAACATACTTGATAATGAATCTTTTATTGATATATATATAATTATTATCTCTTGCATAAACACAGCTTGCAAACACTGGATTAAATAATTATTTTGTATTATAACACATTTTTTTCAAATTTTAAATAGGATATGCTTATGATCAAACTAGTCTATTCAGAAAATTTGTTGTTGTTTAGTCACTAAGTCATGTCTGACTCTTTGTGACCCCACTGACTATAGCCCTCCTGGCTCCTCTGTCCATGAGATTTCCCAGGAAAGAATACTCTAGTGGGTTGCCATTTCCTTCTCCAGGGGATCTTCCTGACCCGGGGACTGAACTAGGGTGTCCTGCATTGGCAGGTGGATTCTTTACCACTGAGCCACCTGGGAAACCCATCCAGACAATTAGGACATGATAAAATCAGGTCAGGTTCTATGATTTTACCTGTATATGAAAAATAAAGGAATTTTTATTTATTATTTAATAGTTAAATCAGTGCCAACTATGCCAGAAAATCTCACTTAAGTCCGAAAGTTAACAGGCAATCTTTTATTCAATTGGTTTATGGTATACAAACCAATGCAAACTTCAGAAAGGATAATACAAAGTCCATGTCATATGAATGAGATACCAGAAGTACTCTTAATAGGAATCTAATTGTCAGTGTGGCATGGGTACTAAAAGTAAATGCCAAATAAGGTAAAACCAATCCTATCAATCATGTACAATAGTTACATTATAGCTACCTTTGCTATTATTTAACTTTGGTTATTTCAACAAAAAAATTCTGTCAAATTCGAAATAAGCAAATATCTTCTTTGGGTAACTTTCTGAAAAGAGTTGTGACTTGAAGTTAGAACACCTGCTTGAATCCCAACCATATACTACCTAATAGCCATGCAATCATGAGATCTTAACACCCTTCATCTCATCTATAATGAAGGGTTAATTTATTATACCTATCTGACAAGACTTTTAGAAGAAGTAATTGAAAATGTTAAAACTTTTTGTAAAATTTAAAGTTCTCAAATTAAGAGGTTTTTATGTTTTAAGAAAGTGTTACAAATGGAAAACATACAAATGACTTAGAAATACTAAAATATACTATAATGTTTGAGGTTATAGAATTACTATTACTGATAAATGATCACTTTGTGATTTCTTACCAGTTAATGTCTGAATATAGGGAGAATTGGCTCCTGCAATACATCGTGACCAGGCCAGACTTCGTTCGTCGTAAGACATCACAAAGAGAAAGTCACAGGCATCTGCAATTCCGGTATAGTTATAGCACCTTGCACCGACGCAGTTTGGACCCCAAGGTACATCAAAGGTTACCTATAGAAAAACCATTTTATGTAACATGATCAAATAAGCATATTATGGCAGATGTTTTGTTGATTATATATTCTCTTGACTCATATTATCCCCTAAAAAGAACCACTTAGGTGTATGAACATACAGTTTGACATGTATGGAATGAGAACAATCCTAAGAAATGTATTTTTTGCCTGCATGGACTAACCCAGACAGGTGTTTTTGACAATGTCTTGGCCATATAGGTAATGGACATATATTTGGACCTGGACATATTTGGACTTGTACAATGACCAGGAGCAGGCACAATGTAGAAGAGGAATTTTAAACTCAAATGCCTTCAGACTGGCAACTCAACTGATTAAAGAAAACTCATGTAATCACAGTAGGGTGTGGTAGGGTCTATAAGCAACTAGAGTAAAAACACACTGAAAGAATTCAAATTAAAAAATTCTTAAAAATGTCGTGCAAGCTACATAGGTCATCTCTTGGCACAAGCTGACTGGACTACGTTGGGAGTTTGAGCTCCTGATTTACAACTATGCTACCTGGTAGGTTTAGTCCAATATTATAGTTAAAGAGTAGTGGTATTTTATGGCTACTAGTATATATTAATCAACTCAAAATGTTATACAAGTCACTTAAAGGTTGATTTTATGGAAATATTCAAATAAAACTTGAGTGGTAAATTATCTTTTATTTTGAATATGAGCCAGTCCTCGGTAAGGATGAGCCTCTTAAGATTTATTGCTTTGAGTATTATATATGCCTGCAAATGTTCTAAAGCTTCATTAAAAGTTTTCTGCTTAATTAGGCTCTCAATAAATATACTGATTAATATTACAAAAAGTTGAGGCATTTTAGTTAAATTTTTACACTTTGGCCAATTTATTCTACTTAACTCTTCCTAGGACTTTCTCAAAATTCTCTCTATAACTCTCTCATTATTAACACTAAAGAAAGCTCTGCTTTGTAAGTACAGGCTTTCCCCAAATCTCTCCAGCAAAATAGATTATAAAGTGAAATTTTTACATATTGGACTTCATTTTTTCACTCTCTCCTCTACAAAATGGAAGTATAATAAGGTGATAAGAGAAAGTGACTGCCTCTAAGCTGGTAAATTTAAAATTCATTTTTGCAAGTCCTTGCCTCTCTTCTGAGCAGCGAGAATATTTTCACTGGTTTTTCTGTCATGGTTAATCTCATACTTTTTTAGCAGGTAGTGTTAGTATATTAGAAAAGAAATCAAAAGACGGATTCTTATCTTGGCTCTCATATAACTAGATTATTTCATTTTAAATATGTGGTCTGTTTTCCAACTATAACAGTGGAAGTATAGAAAGAATTCTTCAAGAGCCCTTCTAGTTCTTTTAATTCTGTGAGGACAAATTCTATAATCCTAAATTATTAACTTTTCCTCAAAATTCATTTCTCCTTCTAGGGGCTCATTTGTTTTGTTTTGTTTTTGTTTTTGTTTTTCTGCTCACCAGTTTAAGAACTTTGAGGATTTTTCTGACTCTCTTTCTCTCTCATCCTATAACTAATCTCACATTTTCTTTTGGGTAGCCTCTCACAATTGTTCTGCCTCTTCATTTGTCCACTAATTCAATGAACACTTTCTGAGTATTAGGGTTATGTTGCTGCTGCTGCTAAGTCGCTTCAGTCGTGTCCGATTCTGTGCAACCTCAGAGACGGAGGCCCACCAGGCTCCCCCGTCCCTGGGATTCTCCAGGCAAGAACACTGGAATGGGTTGCCATTTCCTTCTCCAATGCATGAAAGTGAAAAATGAAAGTGAAGTCGCTCAGTTGTGTCCGACTCTTAGCGATCCCATGGACTGCACCCTACCAGGCTCCACCATCCATGGGATTTTCCAGGCAAGAGTACTGGAGTGGGGTGCCATTGCGTTCTCCAGTTAGGGTTATGGCATCATCCCTACTCAAACCATAAATTCTAAGTTATTGGATTACTGGGTTAGTCCTTATAAGTCTCCTCTAGACAATTTTACATACTACCATAAATAATCTTCCTCAGATACTTTCTACACACTTTACCCATTACATATAGAATCAAATGCATACTCTTTAGTGTGACATCCTGGATGTTCAGTGTGACAATCTGGCTCAGCTTGGCAACCGTACTTTCCACTGACTTACCTAATATGAACTTGACATCGTAGCCCAAATTGTTCTACTTGCCCCGGAAAATAGACACTCATACTGCAAAGTCTGCTCAATCTCTTCCTCTTTGTTCTTTCACTATAGTTTAATCAGGACTAACAAATAAGTTCCCATGCATTAATTCTACCCTATTAACAAAGCAATCGAGAGAATGAAGGAAAAGTTTCTGAGGCTAAAATTTGTGAGAAGAGTACGGTGACCTGCATACCAGGTATTTGCTATTCTTGATCTAAATTGTACTTATCTGAAAAACTGAATTCCACACTGACAAACCTTCCCTACTTGCATACAGACACAGAGATATCAATTTTTATGTTGTCTATTATTTTTCTAGTGCTTCTCAAATTCATGTTGACCAACTATAAGTGATAAGAATCACTTATCACTCTTGATAAAAATACAGTTCCTAGAATTAGGGTTTGAGTCTCAATGGGCCATAGGTGCTTTGCAAAGTAATTCAGAGTCTATGGAGCAAGTGAGACACTTCTCTAGAACTATCTCTACTCTTAGGCAAAAGCTATTTCTGTCCTGAACTGATGAAAGCAGGGCCTGGCCAACTGAGTCCTTCCTCTGCCTATCTACTATACCTAACCATGCTGCAAGGCAAGCAGGTGGGGCAGTTTCAGTGTTGTAAACTTATGTGAATAAAGAACAGGTTTGGACCTTAAAATTTTATAAAACTCTTCTAGTTAAGAACCTCAAAAGTTCCAGAAAACTTTTTAGGATGTGCTGAAACTCTTCCTACTCAGTAAAACTGAGATTCTACCTTAATGCATTTTGAGAGGAAAAACAAGGGGTTTCCAAAAAACAGCAAATGAATTTTCACCTGTGATCCTTCAATTTCACGATGGAAAGAGTCTGTGGTTTCTTTAACTAAAGCAGTTAATGCATAATATTCAGGTGATGAATGAGCAACATCTTGTTCTATGTCTAGATTAATTCCATCCATATATTGTGTTTTGGCCAGCTTAACTTGTTGAGCTATCCAGGATGCTCTGAAAGTAGCATTAATGATATCCTTTACAGATACATCTCCTATGGAAGAAATATACATCTTTTGTACATACATGCTTTCCACATTTTAATAAAATCTATTTCACAAACCCATTCCAAAGAGATCCTAATGTCTTTAAAACATCTCATAATTTTTGAATACTCAGCCTCAAATTTAAGTTTTCCAAACAAAGAAATAATACATCAAAATCTCAGAAAATCATGTCACTGATCTCCTAAATAACCATTATGAATAATTAGTAATATTCTCAGATTAAAAACAGAGATTGTGGGCTGTGGCTAGCTAAGGGTCATCATGCTAATTAGGACTCAATATTTTGCCCAAAACCATATGGTGGTTTACTTGATGCTTTAAAAATATCTCTACCTGAAAAATGAATTAAACAGTGAGGTTAATTTTAGGATGCTAAACATATAAACATGAAAATGTTTGGAAATTTGTGATAGCAGATGATGCAACTAAACTTACCAATTGGCTAGACACATCTGGTTAAAATTGTAACTTACCTTTTAACACTACTCTGGCTCCTTTTGCATGAGCATGGCACATAAGTTCTGGGTCATAATTTGAAAAAAGTACCACAGTTGTAATCTGTGACCAGTCATAATATTTCCAAGTTTTATATCCAACATCAAATACAAACACCTGCCAAAACAACAGGAATAAGCACCCTCACTTAAACCAGGAAGAATACCATTCTGACCACCCAAAGAAACATTAGTTAATCATCGATCACATGCCAGGCACTGGTAGACACTGAGAGTACAAGAGTGAATTAGATATACGGGTCCCAATTAATTGGTGGCAGAGGAAATTAGCAGGTCTGGAAAGCAGGGGAGGGTAAGCTAGGAAGAAATAGTGGCAAGTGCCTGGAGGCACAGAGAGCACAGTGTTATGTTCGGCTGACACCTAGAATTTGGAGGAAGACAATAATGAAGAACCAGAGAGAGGTAGTCAGGGTTAAATCATGAAAGGACTTGGAGCCCTTTTGAGAAATTATCCCGAGGGAAAGGGTTTTAAGAAGAGAATATACATATTTTAGCTATGCATTTTAGAAAATTAAAGACCTATTTTTATCCCCCTTCATGAGTGCCAGGTATAGAAGAGCAGAGTAAGGAGCACCTTCGGTCTTTCACTGGACCTCATCCTCATCCTCTTGGAAACCAATGGGTCTTGCTGCTTAGGGAGTTAATCCCTTACAGGCCTCCTTGTTTGCTGCCCAGAGTACCTCAGGAGAGACACAGCAGGCTAATGCAAGGGGCTTGGACTTGGATTCAGACCTGGGTTGGAATACTTAACTGTGAGACGTGGGAGGAGTTACTCAACCTCTCTGAGCCCAAATTTCCTCAGGGAAATCCATGAACAGAAAGGTCCTCCGCGAGCGGTCAAAGTTAGCTTCGCCCCCCACCCCCAGCACCTCTTTTTCCGGCTCCGTTCTTCTACTGTAAGTCCTTTTAGGGCCCTGTGAGGACCAGACCCGGAGGGTCAGGGGAGAGGGATGCCACTGACCTCGAAGTCGGGGCGGTGGGTGATGGGACGGCACAGCGCTGGGACCTGGCACGGGCAGTCCGCCCTCGCCCCGTCGGGCAGCGCCAGCAGCAGCGGCAGCAGCAGCGGAGCGAGTCTGGGCGCCCGGCGGGGCAAGGGAGCGAGCCGCCGGCTCCCCGCGGGCTGCAGCCGGGCCATGCTAGCCGCTCACCAGGCAGCGGCACCTTCAGATTCCCAGCTGGGGCCAGCTTTATGGAGGGGAGAGGTGAGGGGGGAGGCGGGGAGAGGCGGGGAGAGGGGGGGAGGGGTGGGGCGGGGCTCCCGGTCTGGGCAGGTTGCGGTGGGGAGGCTGCGGTCTCCAAGCCGGGGGCCCTGGGCTGTCGGAAGGAGGCACTGAAGTTTCCGAGCCTCCGGCGCCTTGCAGACCAACTTGGGCAAACTCCGGGAGATGTTGAGGGACAGGGAGGCTTGGCGTGCTGCAGTCCATGGGGTCGCAAAAAGTCGGACACGACTGGGCGACTGAACAACAACAAGCGCCGCGTGAAGGAAATTAAAAAGCAAGTGGTCTGGGCAGGCTTTAGAAGCAGGAGAGGAGGTTTCTGACTGCCTTCTAACCCCCCACCCCCACCCCCTCCGGGCTAGGTGTTTGTCTCCCAACACACGAATTCCTATCAGCCAGTCAAGCGACCGTGCTTTAGATAAGAGAGGGAGTGGATCTTCAATTTTCTCGGAGCCCATGGAGACCTCGTCAGAACCCCTGGTATCTGGAAAATCTTATGACTTAAAAGGTGAAGGGGGGTTGGGGGGGGGGGGGAACAGCATTGCAAACATTAAAGTAAAACCAGAGCTGTATTTTTTGCGTGTAAACTGATGATGATTTGAGTTTGTGACCTGGGATTATGAGCGGGGGTCCCCAAAACTACAATCTGAAGTCTCATCCATGGGGTGGACCCACTGCCCAGGACTTTTTCCCAATTGAGACTCCAGATTGCTGTTAATAAGGGATTTCCTAGCACTGTTTAATCTGGAAGTTGGTCAGCCCAATTTGGTGATGGATGTACTGTTGTTTTAGTTGCTAGTTTGTGTCCCACTCTTTCCAATACCATGAACTGTAGCCCACCAGGCTTCTCTGTCCATGGGATTTCCCAGGGGATGTGCTGTTACTTTTTCTGTTTCTCTTTTTTAATGACTGTATATTGAAATTGTGTCAAATATTCTTCTATTAAATATGGAAAGTGTTTATTGTCTGTGATGAGTGGTTTCTTTTGTTAATGAACCCTTCAAAACTTACACAGACGTAAACTTTGGCAAAACACACTGAGCCCAGGCAGCCAGGGCCTTTGTGGCCAGCAGGGCACTGGCTCAAGTGTATGCCGCCTCCCATTTTTGTGCCTCTCTCTGGCTCTGTGTCATAGTTGTGTGTCTCTTCCTTGTGGAGTCGAAAACCGTTGGGAGCCCTCGAAGTGGAGAAGTAGGGTGCCTTGGAAGGGATGACTGTAGTACCTGGTGGGAATGGCCCAAAGGTTTTAAAGATATGGGTATCTGTTGAATTAAGATGGTGTTTTGAATATGGACTCTAATTTCGCTTCCTTCCATGCTTAAACTCCAGTAAAAACCTGAACCCAAAAGGGCAGGGAGATAACAGCAACGTTTTGGAAGTTTGAAAGCACAAGTATGAGGCCTGGGTGCCCCAACTCCCAACAGTACAGAAACCTGAGAAACAGCCTAATTCATAGAATCTTCAAAAGTTCTCAGGGAAGCAATTTGGGTGGTTTCTGGGGCTCCAAAGAGCTCTGGTACCATAGTTTTTTATTTTCAGTGCAGAAAAGAATTCATCGAGAGGCAAAGTGATAGATAAGAAGTGATTTATTAGAATAAGATGCTTGTGATGTTTTCAAGTGGGTGGGCAAGGGGGTGCTATACTCCCAAGAACTTACTGGACTACAGTTTTATAATCAAAGGAAAAGTAGGGAGGAAAAGAATTTCTTTGTCTTTCCTGAGTAGATGCCCTGCTTCCATCAGCTCCTCTTCCAGGTTGAGCAGGGGAGTTTTCTCATCCCTACAAAGTCAGGCTAGGTCCCCAAATTATCATTTGTGTGTGTGTGTGCAGAGAGCATGTGCAGGGATCATTAATTTACTGAGTTCACTGCGCAGGTCTCATGCCACCATTGTTTTATTGTTTGGGGGCATGTCTCATGTGTCTGTTGCATGGTTTTGTTGCTAAGCAAGACTGCTTGGTTTTGTGGTTAAGCAAACCTGCTCTCTTGAGTAATCATTAACTTAACAAGGGTCTCCCATTTTTCTACTTACAATCCCCTAGTGGGATTAACTGTTTAATCATCTACTTTGTCCTTTCACTCTGTCCCTATCACTAGAACTGCAAGAGGTGCCTCAGAAATTAGAGGTGAAGGGGGGATGGAAGTTAGGATGTCAGAAAATGCAGGGAATTAGGTGAGAGTCGCTTGAGAAGCAGTTAGATCTATAGATCTTTTCTCCAGCATTATGTCTGGGCAACTGCCCTTCTCCTACCCAGGCTGAAGTTTGGAGGCTTAATTCTCTAAGAGGGTGAATTCTCTGGTAGGTGCTTGGGTACCACTAACCCTAAGCCTAACCTAAAAGGAATATAACTAACTCTGTGCCTGACCCAAGATATTAGAAATGCCCTGAGATCATCCTTTTGAAATTCAAAGTCAAAAATACCAGTCACCCACTCAGAGCTCCCTCTCTTTTTACTTCTTACCTCTTACTTTTAATCACTGAGAACAAATAAAACAATTAAATAATATAAACTGAACAACAGAGAAAGGAATATGGAGGAAACAGGCATTGTCCAGAGGATACTAAAAGAAAACAAAAAGACACCTCTCAGTAATATCCCCAGAAAGGTAAGAGAAGATGAAAACTGCAACAGGATGCTTTTTTTTTTTTTTAAAGGGGCATGGGAATAGAGTTCATGTAAATTAGAATTATCACAGAAATTAGGAAAAAATCAGAATGTCTGAGCAAAGTACAAAAATACTCTTCAAAAAAAAAAAAAAAGAATACTAAAAGAGTAGTCCAGATGTGAAGAAATCATCAACTACAAGAATGAAGGACAGGAGTTTTCAGAAGGGCAAGATACAGATCCTAAGAGCTTCCAGAAAGTCACAAAGTATCAAGAATCAGAAGGTCGTCAGATTTATCAATAGCAACACAAAGACAGTGAAACATTGCATTTGAAATTCTGAGGGAATATGATTTCTGCTTAAAATTCTGCCAAATTATCAATCAAATGGAATAGTCATGTAACATTTCAAAATATTGACATATCATACATTTCAAATGGAGTGTGCTAGGCCCTGCACCCAGAAATTCTGCTTCACTGAGTCTGTGTGGAGGCCATGAACGTGAATTTTGAACAACAGCCCCACGTGATTATAACGTAGGTTGTGGCATGTAATTTGAGAGTCACTGCCATGATTAGTGATTTCATAGTCTAAAGTAAACCTTTTTGATTTTACATCCCACCCCTATTTCAGAAGCCGTCTCCATTTAGTAGGGAGACAGTATTAATAAGAAATACTTATTATAGGAGTATTTCTTATTATGGGAGTTCACAGTTCTATTTTGGTTTTGAGAGTCTGTGAATAGCTATGAACTCTCTTTCCAGAAAAGAGCATATACATAGTCATACAAATTATGTGAACCTTTTTTAGTTTATCTGTGGACCACTAGGTTGCTCTCGGGTATAAGCCTCAGAAGTGATTATTCATATTTACATTTCTGGAATGGCATTTGTAATATTTCTTTCCTTGCCACCGTTCACTCAAGCCCATTTTCCAAAACCTCCTCAGTTCAGTTCCTTCCCGTTCTCCTTACACTGCTATCTAGTCACTCTCATTGATAACTCTATCTGTGAAAATATTTCATTTTCCTGGACCAAAACTGAAGCGGGATTTCATATGAGTCATGTCACTTGATACCAAGCACAGAAAACTCGACCTGAGCACAAAGTAGGAATTTATTATGTCAAGGAACTAAATGTTCCTGGGGAGATCTTCAGGACCCAGAGATGTTAATCATATCAACAGTTCTCAGTCTCATTCTCCATTTCTTGGCTCTGCTTTTCTCTGAGTTTGTTCTGTTATTAGGTAGTGCTGGTGGTGGTTTAGTCACTAAGTCATGTCTGACTCTTGTGACACCATGGACTGCATCCTGCCAGGCTCCTCTGTCCATGGGATTCTCCAGGTGAGTGTACTGCTGTGGGTTGCCATTTCCTTCTCCTGTTATAAGGTAGATTTTCTCCATATGGTGGAAAGATGGTTTCCAACTCCACAGGCCTCCTGACATCTCCAGAGCCTCCCCTAACATTTGCAGACCCCAGGGCAAGGGCACAAATGGAAATCCACACACATGAAGTCTAATTTCTTTTTCTAGAAATTTTATTTTCCAACAGGAAGCCAAATGAAGTGAGGGCAAAACTAAAAGACTAGAATTCTCAGTATATATTTTCCACTGATCAGGACCTCATTTTTTCCCTACAAAATTAAGGACACTAAGTTTTAACTCACAAAGTTGCTAGGAGGACACATTCTGACAGTTCATATCAATATCTTTTGGTAGTGTTAGTAAATGCATGACATTCTTGTTATTAGTAATACAATATTTTTGCATTCTTATTAGTAACACATTTGTCATAGAATATTGTAGAGTTAACATTCTGAGAAGATCAAAGAATATTCAAATTTTTATGATGTTCTTGGTGAAAAAGAACACATTGCTTAATGCTATCCATAATTTTTGAGAGGGGGGCCTATGCCTTAAATTAACAACTTCCATATCAGAATTCACATTATTTCAGTTCAGTTCAGTCGCTCAGTCATGTTCAACTCTTTGCAGCCCCATAAACTGCAACACACCAGGCCTCCCTGTCCATCACCAACTCCCGGAGTTTACTCAAACTCATGTCCATTGAGTTGGTGATGCCATCCAACCATCTCATCCTCTGTCGTCCCCTTCTCCTCCCACCTTCAATCTTCCCCAACATCAGGGTCCCTTCCAGTGAGTCAGTTCTTCCCATCAGGTGGCCAAAGTTTTGGAGTTTCAGCTTCAGCATCAGTCCTTCCAATGAATATTCAGGACTGATTTCTTTAGGATTGACTGGTTGGATCTCCTTGCAGTCCAAGGGACCCTCAAGAGTCTTCTCCAACACCACAGTTCAAAAGCATCAATTCTTCGGTGCTCAGCTTTCTTTATAGTCCAAC